GCTACAATTTGCCTCCACTTCTGCTCTCACCCAGCGCCTCCAAGAAGAGCTGAGCTACCCCTGCAGAGGATGCTCAGCTCCTGGTCAAGCAAATCCACTCCCTCAGCCTCTCCTCACCTGCCATGGGCTTCAGCCTTCCTGGAGGGTGACCCCAGCCTGGTTTGCAGGCGTGCTCCCCTCCACCTGCAGGACAGTGGTTCCTCTACAACACCCAACCTGCCCAGGGGCTCACAGGGACCTTCCCGAGCCTACAAACAAGCAAAGACCTGAGGCCAGTCAATGAATAGCCAGTGCCAAACCACTGTATTTATTGAGATCCCGTGTTGAGGCCAGGCAAGCTGCAGCAGTGTCCTGTGTTCTGCTGCCCTCCAGCCAGCACCTCTGACTGGGGGCTGACATCCCAACAAGCTATTCCTGCTCTTGCTGCCTAACCAGGAGCAATTTGGGCTTTGCTTCCTCACCAGTGCTCTGTCACCCATGAGACACTCCTATAGTGCCCACAGCCATGAGACTCAGCTTCCACCCTGTGGGGGAATGGCCCCAGTGTGCTCCCAGCAGCCACACAGTGCTCTGAGAGGCAAGGGACTACTGCAGAACCAGCCCAGCTGAGCAGAGCACTGCTTCCACCAACCCCAAGAAGTTGCACAGCTGCTATTTCCAACCAAGCTCCAAAGAAGGGGCCCAGGAACCATCAGAGCAGGGCACGCAGGTGCCTGTGCCTGTTCTCTCGCACCCCTTTGCACAATGTGCTCGTCACTCCAGTCCCAGCTCTGCTGAGCATCAGCAGGCAGCAAACTTCTGCTGGATGAGTCTGTACCTGAGCAGCTCCTGCTCAGAGACTGATGGCTGCAACCTTGCAGCAGCCTGCAGGAAGTCATCCATGGTCAGGATCAGAGCAGAACTCTCACTATCCAGCCCTGCGGGAGAGAGGACAGGAACAGGCTGAGACAAGCACAGGGGTAGCTAGCAAGATCCAAAAGCCTCCTCTCCAGCCACCAGAGACTGGAAGGAAAACCTGTGTCTCTCTCCCTCTCCCTGAGGTCAAGCACTGGAGGTAAAGATGATTAATCTGCAGAAAACTGCCCCTCTGCTCCCCTCTGGTGAGACCCCCCCTGCAGTCCTGTGTCCAGCTCTGGGGCAACTACACAAGAGGGACGTGGAACTGCTGGAGCGAGTCCAGAGGAGGGACATGGACATGCTCCACAGGCTGCAGCACCACTGCTCTGGAGACAGGCTGAGAGAGCTGGGCTGGTTCAGCCTGGAGAAGAGAAGGCTCCAGGGACACCTTAGAGCAGCTTCCAGTGCATAAAGGGGTGACAAGAAAGCTGGAGAAGGGCTTGTAGCTGACAAGGGCCTGTAGGGACAGGACAAAACTTGACAGAGGGGAGATTGAGATGATACATCACGAAGAAACTCTTCCCTGTGAGGGTGCTGAGGCCCTGGCACAGGGTGCCCAGAGAAGCTGTGGCTGCCCCATTCCTGGCAGTGTTCAAGGCCACGTTGGACACAGGGGCTTGGAGCAACCTGCTCTAGTGGAAGGTGTCCCTGCCCATGGCAGGGGGTTGGACCTGGATGAGGTTTAAGGTCCCTTCCAACCCAAACCAGCCTGGGATTCTATGACTAAACTGCTGCAGTAAGCCAGAGCCAAGCATTCACACATGGTCCCAAAGATATTGGGCACAGCCCAGTCACCAGCAGTGGTAACTCTTCCCTGTGTGGGACAGGCAGGGGCCAGGCTCCTACCTTCCTCGATCCATTCCACCTTGCGTTTGACAGCACACATCATGGCATCGGAGCACAGGGCGTAGATGTCTGCTCCCGTCAGCTGAGTTGGGCATTTTTCTAGGACTGTGGTGAGATTCACAGAGGGATCCAGTTGAAACCTGCCAAGAGAGAGAAACCTGCAGGTGTAAAGCCCACAGAACAAAAACAAGACCAGGAGAGACACAGGGGGTTGGAACTAGATGATCTTAAGGTCCTTTCCCACCCTAACTATTCTATGATTCTATCACAGGGTAGCCATCATGACTGGGCCCCACATTCCACAGCTTCTGCACTGTGCTCTGCGTGCCCCAAACAAAAATCAAAGGGGGTTTGTGTTTGTTTTTTAAATGCAGTCACTTGTCTTTGGAACATCCCTGCAGCAAGGTCCTGTGTCCTGCTAAGCAGGATCAAAGGCAACTTTGAGTTTTTACTCAAGAGACATCGAGTGCTCCACATGCCTGGGAACAGCCTATGGCCAGGGCTGGACACAAACGTGTTTAATTAGAGACAGTACAAACCACTGTAACACCAAAGCACTGTATCAGAGCCACGCTGCAGACAGTCAGCCTCCTTCAGTACCAGCACAGTGCTGCAGGGCATGACTAGCAACACTGGTGTGAAAGGACGCCTGTAGCCAGCCCATGCTCTTGTCTCCTGTGAGCCTATCCTCAAAAGCAACAGTGATCACAGCTGTCCAGGTGGGGAAGTCCCCAGAGAGGCAGGTTCACAAGTGCTCACCCTGCTGTGGTGGGTGGTACCTCTGCTCTCACATTGTGGGGATTGCTTTCCTCCTCCAGAGATGCTCTCAGGAGCCCAGGGAAGCTGGAGAAGCAGCAGAATCCTGCTGCTCACAGATCCCACACGACCAGTATGGGGAAAGACACACAGAGCACAGGCTGAAGACCCCTCAGCATCACAGCAGGAGAGGCAGCAAGATAAATGGAGCTTCCCATGTTGCTACACTGTAGTCTCATCACACTGTTAGGATCTGGCTGAGCTCCTCAAGAACAACTGCCTGAAAGGAAGATGGAGCCAGGAGGGGGCTGGTCTCTGCTCCCAAGGAACAAGAGACAGGACAAGAGGAAATGGCCTCAAGCTGCGCCAGGAGAGGTTTAGACTGGGTATTGGGAACAATTCCTTCCCCAGAGGGCAGTCAGGCATTGGAACAGGCTGCCCAGGGCAGTGGTGGAGTCACCGTCCCTGGAAGTGTTCACAAACCTCGTAGATGAGGCCCTCAGTGACATGGGTTAGTGGTGGCCTTGGCAGTGCTGGGAACGGTTGGACTGGATGATCTTGAAGGTCTTTTACAACCCAGCTGATTCTATAATTCTGTGTGTGCATGGTGACTGGAGAACTCTGCCAACCTCTCCACTTTGACAGCACCTGAGCCATCTTGCAGGAAAACCAGCCCCAGCTGTGCTTAGGGATCTGCCCCATCATCTTCCCCTACCTGCTGGCTGTGGGCCAGTGCCTCAGGTGCTCCCCAGGGCTCAGACATGAAGCCAAGCTGGAGCACACCACACACCAACCCTAAGCAGGCTGTGACCCACTGTGGGTGGCAGAAGGCTGCTGCAAGAGCCTGGGGTTACTCACTTCCTGGTGACGGCGCTCAGCACCTGCAGCTGCGACTCCCGGTCTTCATTTATGCCCACATAGACCAGTTTGTCAAACCTGCCAGCAGAGAGGAGAGACAGCTGAGAAGAGGTCCAGACCAGCCTGTCCCTGCTGCACCAGAAACTGAAGGTGGCCCTGAGACAACTCCTTGTGCTATCAAATTCATGGATGATACAAAGCAGTTGGTGTGCTGGAGGGCAAGGCTGCTCTTCAGAGGGACCAAGGCAGGCTGGAGAAATGGGCTGACAAGAACCACATAAGGTCCAACAGCAGCAGATACAAAGTCCTGCCCTGCCACGGGCAAGCCACAGGTATGAAGACAGGCTGAGGGTTACCAATTGCTCCCACCAGTCTGGTGCCACAGCAGGTCCCTTCTTGCCCTGCTGCGCTGCTGTGGCAGTAACAGAGTGGTGGGGGCTGACAAGCAGTGGTATCTTGTGCTGCTGCTACAGCCACAGGCACTGGCCTCCTCTTGGCTTCCTTTCCCCCCGGCAAGCCAGGGCCAAGGGGCTTCAGGAACAGCCTCTGTGGAGGGAACATGGTGGGGACACAGTCCAGCACATCACTGCCTGAGAAACTCTGGGGAACTACCTGGAAGCAGAGTAGGATACAACATACCTGCCCGGCCGGAGCAGAGCTGGGTCCAGGAGGTCAGGCCTGTTGGTAGCTCCAATGACAAACACCTCTCTGGTGGAATGAAGGCCATCAAGCTCAGCTAGGAGCTGCGAGACAACTCTGCAAGGAGCAAGACAGGATGCACACAACTAGGCTTTGGCAAGTCACCCACTGCCACCCTGAGGACACCCTGGCAGGCCAGCAATGCTGCCAAACAGTCCTGAGGGCAGTGAACAGCAGACCAAGCTCTGCAGCCATGGGGCTTAAGCTGGTCTGGTAGCACAGTACTTCAGGGCTGCACAGACCTTCTGGAATAGGGATATCTCTACCAGGTCCTGCAATCACCTGAGGCAACCAACAGGCACCATACCCAGCCCCTTCCAGAGCTAGTGGTTTGTCTGTGAGAAGATGGGACAACAGGGACACATGGTGTCACTGGAGAACTCTGCAGAACCTCTCATGGATGGAGAATAGGATTCCCTGGGGACTATAGGCTCACCAGAAGAGGCCTGGGGGAAATAACCCCATTTCTGGGTATGTCCACATTGTACATACTTGTTTCTACCAGAGGCAGCTGAAAGGTTTCCCACTGCAGAGAAAGAGCAGCTAATAGGAGAGCAAAACAGGGGTGCAAAAGATGACCTCAGAGAGGCCAAAGGGAGCAGTTGGCAGCCACAGAAGCAGCTGGAGGAGACTTTGTCTGACCATATGTTTGCACAACAAGCTTGGGCAATTGGGAATGTGCAGCAATGCAAACAGCAGAACTAATGTCCAGGCCAAGGGAGCAGGGAGGGAGAAAAGTGGAGAGTTGGGATGGACTCTGCCTTGCAGGGCAGCCCTGTGTATCACCCCATCTAGGCAGGTATATGCTCTCCCAAGGATGCACAGTGCTCACTCACCTGTCCATGACACCCCCTGAATCTCCACTCCTCCCACGACTTGGGGCCAGGGAATCCAGCTCATCGAAGAAGACAATGCAGGGAGCAGCTGCCCTGGCTCTGGCAAACACTGGGAGAAGACAGCACAAAAGGTGAGAAAGACCTGGAGGAGCAGCCACCAGCAACGGAACCTGCTACACCCCCAGCAGGGAAGAGCTGGGGGTGGAAAACAGCTGCCCATTGCCTCCCCACCACCAACTGCTACTGCCTGTGGGGCTCAGCGGGAGCAGGGACAGGCAGCACCCAGCATGATGGGCCCTGAGGCTCAGCTGTGCCTCTGAGGGCCTGCTGCCCCACCAGGAACACTGGGGATAAGAGTGGCAGGAGCAGAGAGAGCAGGAGGGGAAGCTGCAGCGAGGCAAGGAGCAGACTGTATTAGACTGTTGGGTTCATGCCCTTACTGGGGGGTTTAAGCACTACCTCCTCCTCCCCTCCAGCACCACAGAAAAGCCCCATCTTCCCACATGCAGGAGCAGGATGCATCTCCTCACCATTACGCACGTTTTCCTCGCTTTGCCCAACGTACATGTTGATGAGCTCCGGCCCTTTCACACTGTGGGGCAGGGAGAAGAGGGAGCCAGTTAGAGGATGCCTATCCACTGCCAGGAGAAAGCCAGTCCCGCTGCATGACGCCCCGCTCTTCACCTAAGGAATGTCATGGTGCATGTGGTTGCCACAGCTTTTGCCAGTAAGGTTTTCCCTGTCCCCGGAGGCCCATACAGCAGCAGCCCAGAGCGGCACAGACCCAGTGACAGCAGCTCCGGGTGCTCGAAGGGCAACTGGATAGTGTCCAGGATCTCCTTCTTCACCTCCTGGAGCCCGCCAACATCCTGCCAGGACACGGAAGGGATCTGCCAAGAGAGGGAGAGTCACTGTCAGCGTGCCTGGGGAGCCCCTGCTCCAGCGGGGTACCAGCCATCAGTCTCTTGTGCCATCAACACCCACATTTCCCCTCTCCAGAGCTTTGCAGTGGGGAAAGCAGACCACACATGTCTTCATGCAAGCTGTGCTTGCAGCATGCTGCCTCATCGCCAGTCCTCTCTTGTACCTCCTAGTGCCTGAGAGCAAAAATACCCCAGGCAAAGTATCCACCAGGGCTGCCTGCAGCCTTGTGGGGAGACCCCTGGGACACATGAAGGAGGGTAAAAATAAGAATAGGGGAAAATCAAAATGAAGCCCAGACCTACCAATTATGAGCTACTTGTGTTCAGGGCACTTCGTCCCTGAGGGCAGCAAGATTGTGCAAGGACTTCACACCAGAGTGACAAAACCTGGGCTACGAGGACCCTTGTCATTAGAAGGAGAATGTGAGAGACAGACATCCTGGAGGACACTGTACAGAAAATTATCTGCTTTTGAATGAGAGGGATGCAAGAACAAAGTCCATGAATGCTTGCAGGAAATAGATAGGATGGGGTCAACTGCAAACACCCAGGAGATCACTGTGAAGAGAAGAAAGACAGCAAGCTTGAGAGGGGGGAGTCACGCCACTTGTGCTGAGCAAAACTATCTCAGAGGATGCTGCTGCTCTGTTCCTGGCTTCAGAAATAGCAGTGTCCTGGGTTCAGCTACAGCAGT